AGGAATTTTTTTTTGTGAGTGAGACCAACACCTTGGGTTACCATGTGGTAGTTTCACCGCCTTTTCCAGCTTTCAGTGAGTATTTTGGAAGTTTGTAGATTTTCTACTAGAAAATCCTTGTTATTATGGGATGAAAATTCTTCATTTGTTTGTATGCTAGACTGAAACTTGTTGATAATGTTTAGGATGACATGTCCATTGCCCTCATGTCTAGAAAATTGAGTGCTTATGGGACACAATGGAGTGAATCCTTGCCTTGTCATTGTCAGTCTAACAAAAAACTATGCTGCCACAGCATAACATTATGACAATTTTATTATGTTTCTTATCAGCCTGAATAAGGGTACTCTTTCTGGATATTTTATTAACTTTTTTGTCCTTAATCATCTTTTTTTATAAATTGCAAAATATAGGGACTTTTGCATTGGATTTTTAAGTTCATTGCTCATCCTCTGGTACCCTCTTTGGTGTATTTATGTTTTGAACTACAGTCAAACTCATCCTGAAATGTTTACTTTTTTTTGTCCAGGCTGGTCCTTATGATTCCTTGAAAGATGTAGCTCTAAAAATTCTGCAAAATAAAGTTTCTACAGTTCCAATTGTCCATTCAATGGCTCATGATGGTTCATTTCCGCAATTGTTGCATCTTGCTTCTCTTTCTGGAATCTTACGATGTAAGCATTATTCTGTTTTGTTGTGTGTAACTTTGCACATCATCACACTTTTTTAACAGTCTAATGATGGATTATTGTGTAAGGTTTTATTAACAGTTCCACTTCTAAACTATCAGGTATTTGCAGGCACTTTAGACACTCTTCGAGTTCTTTACCAATTCTACAGCAACCGATTTGCAGAATTCCTTTGGGTACTTGGGTTCCACGAGTTGGGGATCAAAGTGGGCGTCCGATCGTTGTGTTAAAACCAAATGCATCACTTGGCTTGGTCCTTTCTTTATTGGTTCAAGGTGGACTTTTGACTTGTTCTTATCAGATTTTTGTAAAATTGTTGTCGTAAAATCTGCTCTAGTGCTTAAGCTCTAGCTTTTATCTATTAATTGCTTTTTATGTGGTCTTATTTGACTTATTCCTGTATGCTTGGTTATTTTTATTGTTGTTGTAGTTCCTTTTTTGTAATTTTTTTAAATGTTGAAGCGTTAAAGGTAAGTCTAAAATCACTGTAGTGGTGAGAGAACTAGCATTTATTGAGCAAATGATTTACATGGATGACTAGTAACTAATGCATCACTTTGCACCTCCAGTGCCTAGAATCACCTTCCCAATTTTTCACAGGTTTTAACTAAAAGCTTTATGAATACGTATATGAGTTTTGAAGTTGTTATTTCTGGCATTTGTACCTTTATATTGTCTCGGAACGTGGATCAGAAAAAGAATTCACCTTCCCATGCATTTGTACCTTTTTCATTCGTAGACTTGGCCAAAACTTCAAATTGCCAAACTTCTGAATTTTCTTACCTTTAGCAGGATATTAGGGTTAGGGTTACCATTAGTAAATGTCACCCTCATTTGACCATATGTAGGACATTGGTTGTTTTGTTCTTTGAGTTTATCTCTAGGTTTGTGCATGTGCATATGCGCATGAGAAGGAAAAAGGGTGAGATTTGGGCCATGATATTCCATTTGTCTCTCGTGGTGCTCCTTGATGTGAGGTAGATGGACAGTTAAAAGATAAATTTATGACATAATGGTGCACAGCTAGTAGCATCCAGTCATATCTGTTCACAGGTTGAATGATGTTGGTGAAATTTGTGATGCTAACCTAGACAATAAAATTGTTGAGTTTTACATGTATCATGTTCCACAGTAACTATAATCCATATCTGTGAAGCTGCATGTTAGATGAAATATTATGAGAAAACCTCATGGTTTGTGGTTGAATCCTTTGATATTTAAAGTATTTTTTTATGGAAATAACAGGGACCACATGAACTATAGTGGAAAAACATATAATTTGTGCTTTGTTAGGCGAGTAACATAACACTGGGCAAGAGTTGATTCACCACAGAGATATAGACATGATTAATGTGATTGTGCTCTTCCACTTTATTTTGCGGGGCTTTGCTGTGAAGGGCATATTTATTTAAGTCCATGTTTCTAAAAATGGAGGTCGGGAACTGACTGTCATGATGAATTTTTATCACTGGTCTCCTTTTTTGTTTATCATAGTTGTCAATGGAGGCCATGCTTATTTGGAATTCTTAGTCCATTCCCATAGTTTCTTAGAGCAAACTGTTATGCTAATTTGGCCTTTGTTAATTAGCAATGTAGCTGGGAGCTCGTTCTGGTTTTCTGCCCACATTGGTGTGGGGCCCAAAATTAGAATATTTGAAACAGATGAAAATTGATCTTGATGATTAGGTCATGTATTTTATATTTACTTTTTAGAATGTGGTTTAAAAGAACTTTGTACTTTTGTGGTTGTTGTCTACTTAAAGATGAAACATCGATTCTGCATTACGGTTAGATTGGTTGCTCTGATAAATGACCATACTGATGAATATATAGGCATGCCGTCGGTTCTTGCTTCTCAATTTGTGAATAAATGATTTTCAACTTCTGGAGTTTTGATATGCCATTTCTCTTCCTGCTGTTTTGTACTTCAAGCTTTTGACACAACTAATCTTTGATACAAAACATGTATTCTTGGCATATATTAAGCTGCTTTATACTCTGTACGTACATCATCTGCATATCAGATATCTTACAAGTTGCAGAATCGGTTTCTTACAGCTGAAGTAAGTTCAATACCTATAGTTGATGAAAATGAATCTTTGGTGGATACATATTCCAGAAGGTATAATGATTATCAGTTTTGTATTTCCAACATTCATTTATCTGTTTCTTTTTCGGTGGACTTAGGAGGTTTCCATTACTCCTATACAGTGACATCACAACTTTGGCTAAAGACACAGCTTATGCACAGATACACCTTGATGAAATGAGCATCCATCAGGTAATTATCTAGAATTCCATTCTATTAAAAAATTCCTTATGAAGATCATATTATTTTTCGATCTTATAAATAGTTTTGCAAACATACTGAATCTGATAACATTGAAATGTCAATGCTCCTCATGTCAAATTATCACTCAGGTTCTAACGATACTACATCAAAGAGTGTTAATGTATGAAATTATGATTAACCATGCGTTACCCCTTAGTAAGCTCTGCAGCTTGTGTCAGTGGTGCTGGATATATTTTTTGTTTTCTTTGGCATGAATAAGGTAAAAGCTTATCTACCTGCAAAATTTCATGCAATTGATTTTTTTATCAGATCTGGAAAACACCGATGTGTATAAAAGATTGAAAATTAGATGTTCATACATAGATACTGATGTCATCATTGGTTCTTTTGTTTAGATCTATGAGATGTGGATGAAATTCTTGTGAGGTGTTATTCTCTAATGTTGAGTATACACAACATGGTGGTGAATCATGAGTTCCTGAGCATGAGCTACTCTTGGTTGTTAGAAGGGCCATATTCAAAACTCTCTAGATTTTGCAAGGATGTCATGTCAACTTATAAGGTGTAACTTGAGTGTCCCCACTAGAATTGAATCACCTTGTGGAATATGATACCAAAACTTTTTGTTCATTTTGATGTTCTATGGACTTGCATTATTTTATAACTACAAATGAACATAAAATGTTCTTTGCAGCAGTGCACTCGAAGATTTGTCTCTTGTTTTTCTGGACATTGAGCAGATTGAATGAATTTTCACCTGTTTTTCCTCTGCCAAAATCAGGCACTTCAACTCGGGCAGGATGCAAATTCTCCATATGGAATTTTCAATGGTCAGAGATGCCAGATGTGCCTCCGCTCCGATCCTTTACATAAAGTGATGGAGAGATTAGCAAATCCTGGTAAAATTTGTTCATTAGTGATGTTAGTTTTAATTTGTTCATTGCTGATATTAGGTTTCCTATCTGAGTATTCCATGCTGTCAGGGGTGCGACGTGTTATCATTGTTGAGGCTGGAAGCAAGCGTGTGGAGGGAATCATTTCGCTTGGTGATGTATTTAGGTTCCTGCTTGGTTAGCCCTTAAACTATCAACTTCTTACGATCAATTCCACCTGTTGTGGAGACCTCACCTTTATGGTGAAGATTGCTGTCAGCCCATCTCTTTCTTTTTCTTCTTCCCCTTCAGTGATTTATTAATTTGATAGGCCTCAGTGGTTTGAATGCTACAAGGGGTCTGTAAATGTTTAGGTTATTCAGTTTCTTCCCTTTTTTTTACTTTAACCGTCTGTCACTACTCGAAATCTCATTGTTGTCAGATACAACCATGATGTGGGCTTATAAGTGCTACCATGTTCAATTATGTGCACAGAAGTGCTACTAACAGTTGAGGCATGGAGAGAATTGATGTTGGGGTCTATCCGATCTTTTCAGTTGCATCAGAGAATTGGTTTCACCTAATGTCATAAACAAACTTTTAACATCTGGTGTGCCACAGTATTTCTCTTTGCCACTTTTGAAGCAGCACTTGCAAATGGATTAATTGATTCGTTCTGGAATTGTGACAGTATCGATTTAACTTTCTGGACGATGACAAATCGAAGAAATCTAATTTTATTGTGATAAAACTAAAGCACTCGGGTGTTGGCCTCGTGTGTGTTGTCGTCTTTGTGATCTCTGTTGATTGAAGTCCACACCGCTAGACATCCGAGGCGTGTCATCGAAGAGCTTATCCGCATCTAAGCGATAAACCGAATAATAGATGGCTTCCAAAACTTGCGATCGTTGCCAGCATCATGGCGTTCCGGGGGAGGGAGTGCCCATCAGGACATTAAGCCGTACATGTGTGAAGGATCGACAACGATGGACGAGGCGTGACAAGCCGCAACAAGCAATTGCGTATGAGAAGCGCGCAGTATAGCTACAGAAGTGGCAAGACTCAGGAGATCAAATCTCAACCGTCCGTTTTTTTATGTTAAAAGGCCTCTCGCCCTGTCGCAAAAGGTACGATATATCAGTTCCTTTAGCTGGGGCCTTCTCTCTCTCTCTCTCTCTCTCGGCTCTGTTTCCCACTTGTCATTGTCTTCTGATTTCCGATTTGATTGGGTTCGTCTGCCGAGGAGTATTTTTATTTGAAGATTTTTTCCTTCAATTTTCTCTTTGACCGAATCTTCAGTTGTTCGATCGGAAATGGTGAGTGAACGGCTGCCCTTGCTGTGATCGACGCTTTGTTTCCTCTTTTCCGGTTCTTGGCCTGTTGACTAATGAGAGTTGTAACTTGTCCAGGACTGGACGAGTGATAACGAAGTTAACGAGGAGTTCGAGTGGGACAGCGACGACGAGCCGACGGCTGCAGCGAATCCTCCTACTCTGCCTTCTGAAGACATTCTTGGTCCATCCAACAAGGTAATCACCCCCTTTCGTTGGAAACATAGAATATGGGAAGTACCTTTTGTCTCTGTATGATTCCACTCCTAATATTGTTTGTTTTTCTTTCTCCAAATTATTTTGGAAGTTCTTGAGTAATTGCTTTTAGGGCCATCTTGGTTAATTTTGTTCAAGTCTATAAACTTATTGAGTCTTTAAGCTTTTAGGGTTAGTGGCCACCCGGTTAAGATGTTTATTATGGAATCAGAATAGATCATGAGTTTGATCGTGCGTGTGCCCTTTTTTTAGGGTTTTTTTGGCAAAGGGTAAGCGGTGGAGGCGGGGTTTAAGCCCAGGACCTTGTGGTATTTTTTTTCTTCTGATATTTAATTAAAAAATATTTGTACAATATCTTTTCTTCTTGCATCATACACTTGGATTTCGTACACACGTTAAATTTAAACCAGTTGATAAATATGTTGATTTATATGTTGTATCCTATCCTAACAGCTTAAGCTTTTGGCATTACGTAATGCCCAATCAAATCCTAATCATATGTGTTTCTATATTGTTTTGTCATGCATGGCTGTTTATGCAAATTGGGAACTTGAGAAAATGGAAGAGTTTTTCTCTTGTGGCTTCACATCCACTTGGGAGGACATATTTGCTCCATTAGTAATAGTACTCTTTACCATAATAAAACAAAAAGATAAATAATTACTTTTTGAAGAGTGTAGGGTATCGACAGCATGCCTTTGGTATTATTGCTTGCTAATTTTCTTGTACAGGCTAATGATGGCCTTAATTACAACCACTGTTTTATTTGACAAAGTACCATTTAGAAAGGAGGCAGACAAGGCCATCATTTTTTCATGACGAAAAAATTTTGATTTGGGTTCCAAGATTTCGAAAACCTTTTCTGTTATTGTTCTTCCTGTTTTTGCTGGATGTGCTTCACTGATGTACTTTGTTTTATTCTAAGGCTTGTGATGCTGGTCCTTCTCGCCCTGCGCTGGCTTCTCACTTTATGGGGATGGGATTTTCTGAAGATATGGTGTTGAAAGCCATCAAGGAAAACGGTCAGTGCTTTGTGTTGCATATACACATCACAGCATTTGATATTTTGTCTGACTCCCTTGACCTGGAACTGTCCTATATGAAGGAGAAGGAGATTCTGAAGCTATACTAGAAACACTGCTTACATATGCGGTATATAGTACTGTCATTTAAATAAACCTTTATTGTAACTTTTGGATGCCAAATTGATCCAAAAACTTTGAATTTTCTCTTTTTCCTAGTTGTTAATGTGTTTTCTGGATCAAGAAGAGGTCATAATTCTATATTCTGTTTAACAGGCTATAGAAAAATCACCTGGAAAGCTTGATCATTCTCCTAGTGATTGTTCTTTAGCAAGCTGGGGAAACAACTTGGATGATGATGATGATCTATGTGATGTTGATGACTTTGAAGATGAGGTAATCAATTTTGTTGACTATTTAGATGTGAGATAGCTGCAGCATACACTTTTATAGACTTAAAATGTTTTACATAGTATCCTTATTTATTTTTAAGTCCCTTGTCTTTTCAGAGTGTTAATTTTTCTCATGGCAGTTGTCAGTGATATTTAGAAATTTTTGAAATGCTTTTTATAATTTACCAGTATGAGATCGCTGCTTCTTGTTGTTACGAGTCAATATTTCAATCAATTTTTTTGTAGGAAATTTGTATATACTCTGAGATCATTTATTGCAGTGATTTAAAAAGCGCTATGCGTCAAAAGGCGTTAAGGTCCAAAAACGCCTGAGGCGCTAGGCGCTTGTCCGAGCGAAACGAGGCGCTAAAATATAAAAATATATAATATAATTAATAAATATAATTATTTAAAAATTTAAATAAAAATATGCTATTAAATTAAGAAAATCTAAGGGACAAAATCATAATGTCACATTAACAAAAAGTTTCAAAATTCAAAATAATATATTATTAATCTAATAAATACAAACACTATTATTAGTATACTGTTAACAGTATACTGTATACTGTTAACAGTATATTGTATACTGTTAACAGTATACAGAAGAAGAAGAAGGAAGAGGAGTGTAAGGGGTGCTGACTGAGAAAAGAGGAAGCGGCAGCGGCAGCGGCGAGCAGTGGTAGTGGGAGCGGCGACAGCGGCAGCGGTAGCGAGCAGCGATAGCGGCAGTGGCAACGAGCAGGGTTAGGGTTGGGCAGCGACAACTGATATCGGTGCTTTAGTTGGTTCGATTGAACCAACTAAAGCATTGGAGATCGAACCAGACCTAAAACACTGGTTCGGTCGCCTGGTTTAACCCAGGCGCTCGCCCGAAGCGCCCAGCGCCTGGGCTCGGGCGAGCACCTAGGTGGTGCCTCTTTGAAGAGCACCGCCTGGAAGTGAAGCGAGGCGCTTGGGCCTCGCCTCGCCTCGCCTGAGCGCCTAGGCGAGTGCCCGAGCGCCTTTTTAAATCATTGATTTATTGAATGAACAATGTTTATTGAATGAGTTACATTTACAATATGCAGTTGTTACATCCATTCATTTGCGAAACTTATTGGCATTGGGTTAATTGCCTTACTAATTTTGCTACATTCACTAGCTTTGAGGTTTCTGGTTTGAGGTTAAATGGGATGTTACCTGGCATGCCAGATACTATAGACTGCAGAGTACCACTGTGACATACTAAAGACTGCAACGTACCACCATGACATGCCAAGCCGATGGTGACCTGGCCCAGAGTACGCCTTTATTCTAGGTGTTAGTGGTAGTTACATGACATGCTCATGATACAAGGGCATTCAAGCTTTGAAGATTTGTGTTACAGCCAGAAGCCTGATCTAGAAAGTAATATTTTCCAGCCCTTTCCCTGGGCACTTGAGGGCACAACTCTTTTCCAATTTGACTGTGTTTCATACTGTTGGTAACATGGTGTTCCTACATTCTAGATATCATGACATTCTATTATGCAGATCTGAAAGCTTATATTATGAATTAAAGGTGCTTTAAAATGTAGTCATTCTGAAACAAGATTCGTGACCTATAATTGTAGTAAATATTTATGAAATTTAATATGGATATATGAAAGGAAGCACAGAGTTATTACTTAACAATGAGATAATCATAAGGCCAAGGATGATCCAATTTGCAGGATGATGAATGTGGTAATAGAGAGGATTCCTTGTTTGCAGGACCAAGGATGATATAATCTCAACTCTGAGAACAATGATCATGGTGTATCAGTTAAGTATGTCATCTATATCATCTGCAATTGCTTGGGAAAAGTTCTTTTGTGTGTAGTGGCCCTTTTTTTCCCGATAAAGGCACATTAGATATTATAATCCCTGTATCGTGGTTTTCTGGACTTGAGCCTGTTGTGCTTGTCGCTTTGATGGTTACAATATTGTCATCATCTGCTATAAGACATTGATGGATTTAGAGCATTTTGCTTCTAGAAAATATTCTATGCATTAACTCTGCTGGTAATGTATATATATTTTCTGTCAATTGATGGGAATTTATTTTTAAATGCCTCAATGCATGTTCACTTGTCGTACATACGTTGCATTATTAGATGAGATTCTGTTTTTTATGACTATTATTTATTACATCTATTAAATTTTGGTTAAATACCTATCTAATTGTATGATTGAAATCTTTTCCTTGGTTTCTTGGTCACATGCAAACACTGTCAAAAGCTTAACACCAGCTTGTTGGTAAACGTTTTCTTTGATTTTTTTTCTCTTACTTTGTGACAAAATTCTGAAAAATGGTTCAAGTACTTATGTTCCTGTTAAAATCATGAACTTCACTATGCTAGGTGGTACTCCTATGAAATAGATTCCTTCTTGTTACTTGCTTGACATCTGAATATTTGAGATATGAATGTATTGGGGCTTTTGAGTGTTTTCAGAATAATGCAGTGCTTAATCAAAATACTTTGACTAAATATTTATTTGATTTATTTTTCTGCTGAAAATTTGTTTACAGGAGTTCAATATGGATCTTTCTGCAGAAGATAAGAAGTTGTTGACCCTAGTGGAGATGGGGTTTTCCACCAAAGAGGCATCTGCAGCCATTCATAGATGTGGTATGACATCTAGTTGATGCTTGAAGCGATACTTGTTATATTGTGCAAATTCAGAAAGTTAACGTCTGCATCGTGTCTTCAATGAACTTGCTTGATCTATTGTATAATTGCTTATAAATAATTTTGCTAGAGTTGACATTTAAATTTGGTCGATGATATTTAATCCTCTCACATTCATTCTCTTGTATATGTTTTGGACATGTGTATACACATTCATTTTTCTCCATGTATTAATTGTGGTGAAGTTTAGTGTTGTCTCTTCCATAATATAACTGCCACACCCCCAGATTGATATCACATAAATGTGAGAGGACAATTGAATTGATTTATAAGGCCAGAGTGTCTACTACTATTAGCTTGGGATTTAAGATTTCAGGCCACATGGTTTCAGTTCTATCAAGTTAATGGGCTAGTTATGTTGTTCAGTTTGTGACAAATGGTATTAAAGTAAGGTTGAAAGGGCCCAAATGAGAAAGAACTACTCATGGATGGGATTGGAGGGTGAATCAAAGCATGAAACCTCGACTAGGTTTGATCTCATATACACCATACTAGGCCTTGTTTTTAGGCTATCTTGTTCCTTGACAAGAACGACAAGCTTTGGCCTAGGCAGTTTGGACCCCAGTTTGGTCCCATATTGGATATGGAAGGATAATTATATAGGACCAGAGTGGGTATACTATTATTAACTTTGACTTTGGCACTTTGCATCACGTGGTTGTCCTATCAAGTTAATGAGCCAGTTATTACATTTGGCCAAGTTTGTGTTGATAACAATAAGCTTTCTGCTGTTAAACTTACCTCCTTAAATTTCTTCTGCAGTTAAGGTTTCCTTTCAATTATTCAGACGTATTAAATTAGTACTGATGTCGGACAGCATGATATAATAATTTGTTTAACTTCTATTTCAAGTAAAAAAACATCATGATGATTACATCAAGTTGCAATTATTCCTCACATCAATTGTTATACCATGAATAAACAACATTTATATGTCGCAATGGGTGCCTGCTAATAAATATGTACTCATATTTGGCAGGGAAAATTTGTGATGTTAGACACATAATATGAGCCTTCTGTAGATGTGGCTTTTCTGTAGGTTGTACTTGGCACAAACTTCCATGAATTCTGATGTTCCCTTCTTCAAATTCAAATCTTTAGAACTTGATTTGTGCATTGTAGTAACTCCATGATGCATTATTTGTTTGGAAAATTTAAATTTCATGCTTTGCAATCATTTCCAGAACATTTTCTTTGATGCCATCACACAGTAGATTATGACAACTTTTGGTTGATTCCCACCTCACGATAGGAGAATCCTTGTTTATGGTGAAGCTAATGGAAAATTAGTAATTTGTATATCCATTTGACTATTCTAGCTCACAAGTTTGCTGAATCTCTTTAAAAGCCTGTGAAAATAGAATTTTTTGCTGTATACTGGGATACCAGGGCACTCAGCTGCATGTTTGCACAATTGACATTGTGGAGTAGTTTTTAGAGAACAGACATTCAGAATCGAGCATGCTTCCCCAACTAGTTGTCATGAGCAATGCATTTTTCTTCATTGTCCTTTCAACTACTTATTTTATTCATTCTCACTGTTCTTGTACCAGGTCCAAATTCTTCTATTTTGGAGCTAGCAGATTCCATACATGCTGCTGAGATAGCGGAAAAATTTGAGAGTCATTTGGAAGAATCAACTTACACCAAAGATGAGGTACCTCATATCTATACGTTTTGCTAGATTTTTTTTCCATGTAGATTTAATATAGTCTATTTAACCAATTTTGTATAACAGCCTGGAAATTATATTTATGGTTGTTCAAGAGGTAAGAAAAGGGGGCTTGCAGAGGAAACAAGCAGCAAAAAAAGACGTTTTTTAACTGAGAATGAGTCTTCTATGATCTCTATTCCCAAGCCAATGGTTGGATATGGCATTCCAAATCAAAGAATGCCTAAAATATGCAGAAAGCTACCTGAGTCAGCCATTGGTCCACCATATTTTTACTATGAGAATGTGGCCCTGGCACCAAAAGGAGTGTGGGAAACTATCTCACGCTTCTTATATGACATTGAGCCAGAATTTGTGGATTCGAAGTACTTCTGTGCTGCTGCAAGGAAAAGGGCGTATGTTCACAACCTCCCCATCCATGACAGATTTCCTCTTCTTCCGATTCCTCCAAAAACCATCCATGAAGCACTCCCATTAACAAGAAAGTGGTGGCCTTCCTGGGATACCAGGACACAGTTTAACTGCTTGCAAACTTGCATTGCTAGTGCAAAACTAACAGAGAGAATCAGGAAAGAGCTTGAAAATTATGATGACATACCATCTTTAAAGACACAACAGTATGTTCTTAATGAATGTCGAAAATGGAATTTAGTTTGGGTGGGACAACATAAAGTTGCTCCACTAGAACCAGATGAAATTGAAATGCTTCTAGGATTTCCTAGAGATCACACAAGAGGGGGTGGTATTAGCAGGACTGAAAGATACCGATCTCTTGGGAATTCATTTCAAGTAGATACAGTGGCTTACCATTTGTCAGTTCTGAAGGATATGTTTCCAAATGGTATAACACTTCTCTCACTGTTTTCCGGTATTGGGGGAGCTGAAGTTGCTCTCCACCGGTTGGGAATACATCTGAAGACAGTTGTTTCTGTGGAAATTTCAGAAGTAAATAGAAATTTACTAAAAAGTTGGTGGGTGCAGACAAACCAAACAGGGACTTTGATTGAGCTTGTTGATGTCCAACAGCTTAGCAGTGATAAGATTGAGCAGTTCATCAGCACTTTTGGTGGTTTTGATTTGGTAGTTGGTGGCAGTCCTTGTAATAACCTCACAGGAAGCAACCGTCACCATCGAGATGGGCTTGAGGGTACACATTCTTCTTTATTCTATGATTACTTCCGCATCCTGGACCTTGTTAAATGTATCATGGGGAAGAACCTTTGATTCCACTGAACATATACTTCTAACTCTCATTAACTTGATGTTTTTGATGACATTGCAAAATCCTTAAATTAATTGGGTTTTGCAAGGCCAGTTCATGTTAAGGAGGTCAGACAGACATCTATGATGATTAATCTCTTAATGAGAGTTCTAATTGCTCTTTTATTTTGATTATTTTCCCTTGGGAAAAGAGAATTTATGATATGTTAGACAACTGTGTTGGTCATCTAATTCTCATTGTTGCAAGTTTATATTTTCATTATTTTTCTTACAGTGCTTATGTTTATTGTTAATAAGAGTATGTACTTAAAGAAAAGATTGAGGTCAATTTCATGGTGATTAGGATTGAGGTGATCTTTCATTGGGTCAAATTAAGTCTACTGTTAATCTATATCTATCCTAGGCATGAACATTTATAAGTAGGTATATCGAATAGGTAACCTTCACTAAATTCAGTTAATAATCAAGTTGGCATAGAATTGTACTTTATTGAGAAACTTTTGTTGCATATTCTGACTTTGTGACTGACAACTTTTGTTGCATCATGTCAACAAACCTGAAGATTTGAACTCAGCATAAACTGGATCAATATTGTCATGGAGTATCAGTCACAGGATCCTTATAGTAAAGAATTTTCCAGTGGACTGAGGAAGGAAGCTTGTGATTAGAATGACACAAAAAGTTGCTATTGTTGCAACAATATATATCAGTATATAATGGGATAGGATGTTGCTGGTGCAAGGTGAATATTTTTATATTGTTATAGCTGTTCAACATGAGCATGGGATGTGTAGTGCTCAGAGAAAAAGAAAAAAGAGATCACAACTTCCAATGAGGATGGCAAACGTTTAAAAAGGCAACGGTTTATAAGAATGATTTCTCATGTGTTTAGAAATTTGTATAACAGAATTATTTCCACTTTTATCTAACATTATTAACTGTGCAGGTTTACATCTGTGTATGTACTGGTGTTGCATTTCCACTTTTATTTGACATTATTGATGGTTTTACTATAAGTTTTGTTCTCTAATCTACTCACAGTTGTCATATGGGGATCATTGTCTTTAAATGGTAGTTTGAACTTGCAGAATGTTAACAGAAAGGGTTTTATGGTTGAGATTGTCTAGATATTAGAAGAATGCTGAAGAAGCTTATAATTATGTTATGCAAAAGCCTGTTGTAGAGTGCATGTTTTCGTTGTTTCTTGTGTCTATTCTTTCAGGGTTTTTCTTGATTGCAAAATTTATCAGATTTGTCCCGGTGAGGCCTGAAGAACCATGAAAAGATAATTCATAACCAGACTTAGGTCTCAGCAGCTGGCAAGCAAGCCATGTCATATATAGATGGGCAGTTGACACCCTAAATGGTGGCGATTGAGAGAACCTAAGCCCCAGTGAACATTTAAGACACTGCCTATCTGTATTTGTTTTGGCCCATCTTTTGGCTTTATTTGAGCAATGACATCATAATTCAATTTACATTTTTCTTGCTCAAGTTTCCAATTTATACCATCAACAAAATATTATACTTGCCATATGTTGGAATGCATGTTTAGCTCTCAGATTTGGTGTGATGAATGACATCAAATCTGCATCTATGCTTTCCATTCATGAACTGTATTCTATGTCTGAAATTAATATTTTGTTTGAGTTCTAGCTCCCATGTTGTTGTCAGAATTCTCAGTCATTTCAATATTTGTTATATTTCATCTTGACATACTGAATATATGCAAAAAGTCAGTCCTACATATATACACTTAACTGCAATTATATTTTAATCATAAGTTTCATCTCCAGATATTCCTCTTACATTTCTTATAGTTGTTAATGCATCTGCAATGGAAAGATAGATATATTCTAGAGCTATGTTCACCAGATGCATTTTCCCTGCCCTGCCCTAGAATATGTAGTTTCTTGATTCTGGTACTACGAGAAAGTTCCGAGTCTCAGGACATCACATGCCTATAGGACCACCTGAATAAGCAAATTAGAGACTTAAAATCATCGATTTTAAGACCAAGTTATCTGATTGCTTAATTCTCTGATTACGCAGATTGAGACATGCTTAGCCTCCAATTGCTTTGAGATTTTGCATCTGCTATTTTCCTGTAGAACTGTGTTTAAAATGTTTGCTACTAATCAAAATCACATTCTTGTGCAGAATTGTCCATTCTCAGGTTCATTCCCATCAGGAATGGGATCATATTCTCAGCAAAAGCTGCATCCTATAGTTTGATGTTAAATTTTGTTGCCTCTATAGTTACCACCAGGTCAATATGTGCCAAAGTGATGGCTTATGTTATATATTTTGCTAGATCTATGAGGTGTGTGCTAATTGTAGGAGAAATCAACTGATATGTAATCCAAAACAAATCATGCAGGTGGGTGATAATATTTGTCCGTGCCGAGAATGTTGCTTGATAATATTGTCTTTTTCATCTGGATTTCAGGACCCAGCTGGCAGATTGTGGTGAATTCTTTTTCCTAATCTGTTCTGGTTCTTTTCCGTAGTTGTTTGAGATGGGTTTTTTTTTGCCATGCATGTAGAACTAGCCACTGAGGAAAGACTATTGCATAGAAGCTTGATTACACCTGCTGATTCAAATGGCTAATTTGCATTGCCTTATTGTTAAATTTTAGATTGACAACATTATATGCCTAACAAATACTGTCGGAATTGCTAGTTGTTTTGTGGGTTTCATGGATTTGGTGCTGCCCACCATGAACACAAGGTTGCCTTGTTTCAGCCAAATGATCGAGATGTTATCTTATGCTACGTACCCAAACTCACTGGCAGCAGGTTTGGCAGAATCTAGTAGTATTATCATTTTGTTCTGCTAAGAATCTTGGTGCAGCAAAATCTAACATAACATCATGGGATTGCACTTGTGGTTGCAGTATCGGCCTTATTTTGCGGGAAGATATATGTACAGCTAATCGAGGAAGCGAGCAAAGGCGGCCACTCGTAAGCGACTCCATCGGAAAAGGCCCAATGAAACATTATATCTCGGCTTTAGAGCTGCGAGATGCAGACGCACGGTTGCCTGCACGGGGTATGTACTTCCTCCAAGGGAGGCAACTCGGGCGGCGTGACAAGTAAGATGGCGCATTCGGTTGACTCAGAGGCCGCCAGGGAGGAGGAGGTGGCGGATCCTAGTCGCTGGGCGTCCGGGACGTAGCAGCAGGAGGTGGTTCATGGTGGCGCAGAGGACGTGACACAGCGGTAAGAGGCCGTGGATCATGTTGGCTGAGATGACGTGATGGAGCAGGAGGAGGAGGTGGATCCTGGTGGTTCAGAGGTCTCGATGTAGCAGCAGGAGGTGGATCATGGTGACGGAGAGGGCGTGACGCAGCAGTAAAAGGCGGATCCTGGTGACTCATAGGACGCGACGTAGCAGCAGGAGGCGGTGGATCATGGTGGCTGAGACGACGTGACGCAGCAGGACGAGGCGGATCCCGGTGGCTGATAGGCCGCGACGCAGCAAAGAGGCCATGCATCCAATGACCTGAGATGTCGAGGCGTCGGTGGTGGCGAAAGAACAGTAGGCAACGCACCGTCGTGGGCGAGAAGTCGCGTCGCATCCGATAACCTGAGACGCCGAGAACGAAGAGGAGGCGGCGCACGTAGCTGCCGCGGAAGCAGCGGTACAACAGGCGGCAACGCACGGTACTGGCCGAGACGGTCTGACGCGACGAGAGACGGCCCATCTTGTTGGCCGAGAGGTCCCGACGCAACAGGAGGCAGCGCATCCCGGTCTCCTACAAGACACAAGTGGAACTGCACACCGAGGCCGACGCAACCGGAGTCGCGCGCGGCTTGCTAGGCCTCGCCGACAAACGACACCATGTCTTGGTCCCAACGCTGCAAGGCTTCTCTGACGACGGGCCAACGGGAGGTGGAGTATGCGATGCCGGAAGACAAGGATTACTACAAATGTCATCCTCGGGCAGCACAGACTAGAGGACGGCAACCTCTCTCTGTCATGGTCCGCCGGATCAGCTCGACCTTGTCGCCTTCACTTCACTCCAGATCGCCTGATGGGCTTAGCACGAGGCGCGCCATCGTCAGGTCTCCTTCCTTCCACACCGACGAAGCTTCGAGGCACATATCGACGACTTACTCGTGGGAGAACTTGTCAATGATGAAGCAAGCTTTGCACCTACGTAGCGTTTTATAGAACCTAGAAAGGGAAGGGCTAATGACTTATTATCGGTAGTTACACCTCTTTAGTATCATAATTTTTAGATTTAAAATTTTATATTAAATTTTTTTATAATTATGAAAGTAAAATATTTAAGTTTATTTATTCAAATATTATTGATTTTATTGATAGAATTATATAAATAATAAATAATAAATAATTTTAATGTTTCAGTTAGTAACGATGAACGATATCGATGGTAGCAAATGACGATGTCATTGGGGTGCGTAATTGTTGTTGTGAATGAGAAGAGCGACGACGAGAGATGAGGATTGTTTTGCATCAACATCGATGTTAACACAGTTGTCAAATAATTCTTTCGTCGTTCTACATCTATGTCGACATCAATACAATTGTCAAACGGCAAAATGGCCACTTGGCATTTGTATCGATATCAACATAAATGCAAAGTAAAAGGGTTAACGATGTAGATGTCGAGCACTCATTTTATCGCTTGACAATGTCGGTTTGCATCTGCGTTAGCATCATTGCACATGTTAAAGCAGTTTTTTCGTTGTCTCTGCATCTGTCGGCGTTGACACGAATGCAAAATAGCGTCGCTCCATTATATGTCGACATTGATGGAGATGTCGAGTGATCGTTTTGGTACTTGGTAATTATGTTGACAATGACGCAATTAGCATCCCTTTTGCTACACAACAATTGTATCGACGTCAACATAGATGCAGCGTAGTGCACGATGTAGAGCAGCATCAGTCTACATTTTTGTCGACAACGACACAGTTGCCGAGCAACATCGACGTAAATGCAGAGCGATCCTCATCCACTACAACCACTCACCCCCAGCAGCACCATCGTTTGTCACCACCAATCGAAACATTAAAATTATTATTTTTACTCATTGTTTTCATATTTTCGTCGGTATAACCATCAATATTATGGTAAATGAACATAAATGTTTCACTTTCATAACTATCGGGATTTCAATATAAATTTTTTGATACAGAATAATCTATAATTAGCCTAAAAGGGAATTAGCGTAGATAAGTTTCATACAAAATGATCGTTGAAGTTTTTTTGCAACAGTATTCATATACGATACAGATATAAAGATGTAAACTAATTTAGTTGATAAATACTTTCATAGTTTATCATAAAATCTTAATAGGAAACATCACTTTATCTTTTATAAGAAAAAAATAAATTCACTGTTAGAAAAATAAAATCAGCTTAAATATTTTTTTGAATTCCCAAATAATATTAATTATCGTTATTTAAAATAAATAAATTTATCATTTTATTTATTTTTTAGATAGGAAAGATTTCTTTTTCAAGCAAGAAAATGAGTATCGATGATGAATAGTTCCATATAGAACAAAACAGAAAACATTTTTTTAAAATGGTTTCTGATGAGTAGTTTCGTATTCGATAAGCAACTTTATTTTAGTTATCAAAAAATATATACATATCTTAAGCAATGCATTCTTTTTCCCAAATCCAACCAATCATCATTGTTAGAAATAAATAAAGTTATCCTCTTAGGTAATTTATGATAGATAGGACTGATATTTCAAGCGAGCCAAGGAATCTTATAGGAGAATTATTCAATTTTCGTTATTACGAGAATAAAACTAGAACAATTTAATTTTCGTTATTAGAAGAATAAGACTATCTTATGGGGGAAATAAAGAGATTCCCAAATCCAACTAACCATCATTGTTACTCAAATCATCTTGAGCAAGTTATATTTTATGATTACAAGTCTAACTAATGATTTAAATACTCAAATCCCTTTCAAACCTCAGAAGGATTGGATCCTCCCACCACCACGGGATTGACACTCAAATCTAATGACTCAAATTATCTACCTGATTAAAGAGTATCCCAATCCCATTTAAATGGATATCCTAAATACGACCAAAATAAATCCAACCTGCTACCATCTTTTTGAATCATTATATTCAGAATAAAGGATATTAAAAATGGAAAAACCAATTGGAGCACCAATGCACACACAGCCTTACTCATCCAAAATTTAAGTCACCCACCACACAACCATTATATACTCAAGCTCAAAACTTTTATATTTCAAAAATAAAACTTTAATCACCTTAATAATTGGATACAAAGTTTGGAGCATCATAATACTTGTAACAGGTCTTAAACCCACAATCTGAATTTTAGAATCCAATATCCAAACAGATACCTACAGATACTATAAATTCAGGCATAGATCTAATATCTATCAGGACTTGTCTGATTCCAACCAACCTGATAAAAACTTGAAATTTGATAACCCAATGACATGATTAATGGTTTGTCAAACCAGCAAGATATTACACTGCACTGTCATAATTAAGCTTAGTGTACCCAAGGGGTTATTACGAGTTCTCTGTATATACAAAAACATAATCTTAGGAACTGCAAAATAAATGGCTATCCAAAATACCACAAATGATTTTGCACTCAGAAACGATCGACGACATCATACCCTACATTTGGATAGGTTCTGTGGACGTGGGGGCCCTGTTCTCGAAGGACTGCATTCTTTGCTTGAGAACATCATTGCAACTGCAAAATATATGGCTAACCAAAATACCACAAATGGTTTCACACACTGAAACAATCGAGAACATCTACCCTACATTTGGATAGGTTTCCTGGGTGTTGGGGCCCTGTTCTCCAAGGACTGCAATCTTTGCTTGAGATGAAACACCTCCACCTGCAAAATAATGTTGAATGATTCGGGTCAGCATGGAGGTTTATGACGAACCAGTAAAGTCCGATCGAATCCATAGTTTTACCTGAAGTTGAAATGCTCTTGCCCTTTCGCCGGCTAAAACTCCACGCGTTGAGTATAGCTCCTGCAGACAAAAGAGATATTTGGTCCAGCATAATCTTTGAAGGCATGAAGAATTGGGCACAAACTGCACGAATAAAATTTGTCTTGCCTTTTGTGTGTCATCCAGGATGGCTTTTAAAAATGCTACATCATGCTCAAGCCTCACGTTGTGGGAATGGACAATATTTGAGAGACTATTAGCCTCTTCTTGAGCTAGCTCTACACCAGCCAGCTTCTCCTTCAGCAGCTCAACTTCCTTGACAGTGTCAGCTAGTTTTGTCTCTACCTCTTGCTTACTCTTGACGGCAGAAGATAAGTTCTTCTCAGCAGCCTCTCGGCATGTCAAAGCAGCTTTCAACTGTTCTTCGAGCAGGACATTCTTCCTAGTCAAGCTTGCTATTTTAGTTTCATATAGTTGATATATGTTGGAAGGATTTGTCAAAACTGATCTTCCATCTGTCTCAATAGGTAGAACACGGTCCACATTTGAACCTTCTGATTCAGCATGCATTTCTTCTGTGCTAGCTAAAATTCCAGCAATGTCCATCTTTATTTCAGCTTCTTGCCTTTTGCTCCTCTGCCAAATGTACAAAAAAAAGCTTTGCCAAAATCAAATCGAAGAGGAGAATTAGATTCTCATTCTCATTCATGAGAACGAGAGTATACTAAATAAATGCAAATTTCAAAATATGTTCAAAGTGAGAGTTCAGAAGCATATTGCTTTATGATGCAATATACTGAATGTAAAAAAACAAAAACACTGCAAAAGAAAGAGCATCAGGAATACAGGAAAAAGATATCACTTGTACAAGCGGTCCAAATAGCCAGAAAATTGTCTTTGTATTATAATAGGCTAGTATAAACTTCCAATGGTTTTTAGGCCTTTGCATGAGTAAAAAAACAGCTCTTAAGCAGCAATCATATACTGTTGCTTTCTTGGAATCGAAGCTACTCTTGCTTCTAAATTAAATGTCATAAGTAAA